CCTGGGCACCCCCGGGGCTCCCTCCCCCGGGGCGGGACGCGGCGGTCGGGCCGACGGAGATGCAGCCCCGGGCGCGGGACGGCCGCTGCCTCCCCGGGGCCCGCCCAGCAGATGCGCGCCCCGCTCTGGCCAGGTCCCGCGGGCCGCGGGGGTCCTGGGCGGGCTGGGCGCCTCAGGTTTCGGGTGGGCGTCCCGGCGGGTGCGGGAGGAGGCATGGCCCCCGCGGGGAGCTGGTCGACCCGCGCTGCGTGCAGCCCCAGCCTTCTCTGCAGAGCGCTGCTCGCGCCCCTATAGCCCTGCGCCCACAATCTCCCGGCGTCGGACGCCCCGCGCACAGCCCGCCCGACCGGCCCGGCCCGCCCGCGCGCCCCGGCCTCCCGGAACCGCGCGCCGGGCGCTGCCGCCAGATCCACCCCCTTCGCGGGTGGGCGTGGGGGCCATCTGCGCGGCCGCCAGGGGGCGCCCACGGGCCCCCACCCCACCCTGGCTCTGGCGGTTCCGGGCGGCCGCGCTCGCGGGGAGACGCCGAGACCCGGAGGCCGGGGCGAGGGCGGTCGGCGCGCCCCAGCACGAGCCACGCGGGGACGCGGGACACGACCCAATGGCCCCGGGCCTGGGAGGCGGGGGCGGAGGCGGCCGGTAAGTCCCTTCTCCGTCGGCAGGAATTGGGGAGCGGGTGTCCGGCGCCCGCCTGGGGACTGGGGGAGCAGGTGGGGCCCGGAAGTCAGGCCTCCTGCCGAGCAGCCGCGCGGCGGTGGCCTCGGGCCCTCCCCTGGGGTCGCCCCGCCTGCGCGGCTCTGCGGGGGTGGCTCCTGGGGCCCTCCCAGCCGGCTCAGGAGGACCTACTGTGTGCAAATGGCTGGGTGCAGGAAAGAACCAGAACGCTTGCCTTCTGACTTGGAGGACCCCCAGGACTAGTGCTGTGGATGTAACCGTGCATCCGTTCACCCCAGGACTCGTTCTTCCTGAGGACCCACTGTGTGCTGAAGCCTGGGTGACATCCAGAGTGCAGGGGAGATTCAGACCCCACGATTCTTGACCTGCTGGGCACCAGGGCCAGGCCAGGGCTTTCCCCACTTCCTCATTTCCTTGTATGTTTTCTGTGGACCTACTGTGTGCCAGGGCCAGTGCAGGTGATGCCAGAATGGAAGCAAAAAGCCCAACAGTCCCTGGTTCCTTGGCTGAGCTGAGCTGAGCTGAGCTGAGTGGCCTCCCAAGTCTGGACTCTCCTCCCCCAGTTATACACCCGCAGATCCTTGGTGCTTAACTTATTTTCAAACAAATCATGTTTTTCAAACTTTTAGGGGTGGCACAAGGGAACCTGAGTATGGATTGTACAGGCATAAGAAGAGATTCATTCTGTTGGGATGACGTTGTGGCTGTTTAGATGATTTTCCTTAGACACGCGAGCAAAGGTATTTACCACCGAAGCGACGTCAGATCTTACCATTTATTTCAAAATAAATTTAGAAACAGACATTTTCATGACCTATTTTAAAATCGGTTATCTGTTATAAAGCCTCGCAAACTCTTCTTTTTCTTGGTGATGTTTAAAATTTCAGCGGTTTGGATTAGGGAATGCACCATGCTGTATGTACACTTTTCAGTATAATTGGAATATCTCGTTTTTTTAAACGTGGGACTTTTGTGTAGACCTGTTGTCCCAGACACAGGACAGTTTGTCAGTTGACGTTGTGCCCAGACTGTGGGCACCTCGGGGTGCCCCACGTGTAGGGTGTAAAGGAACGAACGGGATCCCCAGGGGCCACCCCTGTGGGGCGCATTCAGGCAAAGGAGCCAATATTCACGCGAACCCTCACTTACCAGGACTTACGAGGAAATAGGGCAGAGGCAGCCGGGGGACTACAGACAATGGTGCCTGGGGGGCCCTTGGGAGGACTCGGGGGGGACTCGGTGCCTGTGGGGTGGGGACTTAGTACCTGGTGGGGGCTCGGTGCCCGGGGAGGGGTGGCTGGTTATCTTTCTGACTGCACAAGTTGCCCACCACGGGGCCGTGACTGGTGAGATGATGTCGGGGTCCTGCTGGGATCATGGCTCCGAGGGAGGCCGCCGCGGACCCGCGCCTAGTGGGCCACGCGGTGCTGCGGCAGCGGGGCGCCCCGAAGGCGGCGGCTTCTGGAAGGGGGGTCCTTCGGTGTGTGGTGGCGCTGAGCCTGGAGGGCCGCCCCCCCGCCCCCCGCACCCCCAGGGCTCCCCGACTCTGCTGCCGCGCTGTGTCCGTCCTCCAGCCCTCGGGAGGCGCGGCGCGGCCAGTCGCTCCACGGAAGAGTCCGGCGGGGCCGCAGCCCGTGTGTCCAGCTCCCGGCGGCTCCGCGCAGTCTCGGTTCCGGACCTGCGGGGCAGACGAGGGAACCCCGAGCCGGTGCCCTTCGTCCCGGGAGCAGCGGCTTCGTGGGGAGCTGGCGGAGTGGGGTGGGGTGGGCGCACGCGGGGTGGTGGGGCCCTTGCCGGGGCGGGGTGGGCAGCGAGGGGAGCGGGGGAGGGGCGCGGAGGGAGAGCGGGGAGCGGGGGGGTCGGGGTCGGGGCCCAGGCCCGGGCAGGGCAGCGCTGGGCAGCGGCGGCCACGCAGGCGGGGGTCAGATCGCGCAGGGGCTTGGGCGCTGCGGGCGCGGCCCCCCGTGCTGGGGAACCCCGCGCCCTCGGGCTGCACCCCTCTCCTCCGGGGGGGCGCAGCGGGCGTCGGGGAGGGGACGGGCGGGCTGGGGGGGAGGGTGAGAAGGGGCCAGCGCGGGGGTCGCCCCGCCTCTGCACCCCGAGGGAACAGACGCGCACTCGTGCAGCCGCGCCCTCCCCGTCCGGGTCCTGTGCCGGGGGCTTGGGGCGGCCTCTGCCGGGCGCAGCGAGTTCGGGCCGCTTCTCCTCGGCCCGGAGACCCCAGTCCCGGCGCGGGACGCATCCAGGAGGTGCCCTTACCCGGGAACTACAACTCCCAGAAGGCGCCGCGCCCAAGTCTACAACTCCCAGAAGCCCGCGGGGCTGGGGGCAGGGCGGGGCCTGGGGCGGGGCCGGCGCGCGGACCAGAGAGGCGGAGGCGCCGCCCGGGGTCACACAGCGGCCCGCAGCGCCCTCAGCCCGACAGGCGCGGCCCGCGCGCCCCCAGCTGCGCGTCCAGCCCCCGCCGGTCACGCGCGGCTCGGCCGACGCCCCAGCGCTGGGCCGAGCGAGCTCCCCGCAAACGCCGGGGGCGCCCCAGTGCGAACACGGGTGACGATGACAGCCTCCCGCGCCCCGACGCCGCGGCCCCCACGCGTGTCTCCCGCCGGCGGGACCCGAGGGGCAGAATAGGGGGCGCCGGGGTCTCCGGGGGAGGAAGCGCCCGGGGGCGCCGGGAACCGTCCCGATGCACAGCGACCTCTCGCCACCCCCGGGGGTCTGTCCAGGGGACGGGGGCGCCCTCGGGAGCTGGACCCGCGGGGCGTCTGTGCCGAGAACCGGCTCTCCGGGGTCCCCGCGGGCCTCCCGCTGCCGGGACGAGGCCACCGGCGGGCCGGGGTCGCCCCGAGACGGACACACGGACACGAGCACAGCCGCCGCCGCCCAGACCGAGTCCACTGGGGGGCCTGAGCCCGAGCAGGCACGCGGGACCCCCGGGCTCGGGAGGGCGGGCAGGAGGGGGAGGAGGGCGGGGAAGGGCCCGGGCGGGAACCCCCACCCCGGGCCCGGGAGGGCGGGCAGGAGCCCAGAAGGCGGGGAGCCCCTCCCCGAACCCCCCCTGGCGCGGGATCCTGGACGCCGAGGGCCGCGCGGGGCAGGACTCGTTCCCCGGACCCGGCTCCGGGGCGCGAAAGGGCCGCGACCCCGAGACCGGCGCCCCCCGCGGCCTCCCCAGGGCCAGGCCCGCGGCCGTCGGGGCGTCGGGGCCCGAGCTCTCGGGAAGGGAATGGGGTGTCCGCGGGCCCCGAGAAGACGCCGGGCGGGGCGCGCAGGAGGCCGGGGCGCCGCGGGGTCGGGAGCCCGGTCCGGGCGGCGCCGGCCGCGATTCCGGGGACCGAGGCGGCCGCGAGGAAATGGTCGGGGCCGCCGCGTTTAGGGCCGTGCGGGAGGAGTCGGCGGCTGCCCCGCCCGCCCGCCATCCCCCGCGCCCGGTCCCGCCGCCCCCGCCGCCCGGCTCAGCCTGCGGGGACAGGACCGCGGCGGCCAGGACGGGGCGGGGGGTCGCGGGGGGAGGGGCCGCTCCGCCAAACTCCTGCCGGACCCCGACGGCCGAGCCGCTGCCCGCAGCCCCCAGCCCGCTCTCCCGCCGGCGGGGGGTCCCGGGGCGCCCGGGGCCGCGGGAGCCCACGTAAGAGCCCGTCCCTGCGGCTCCGCGGCCCTCCCAGGCGGCTCCCCGCGGGCTCCGGGGCGGAGGCTGCAGCGGAGGCGGGGACGCGGCGGGCCGGCTGGAGGGACCCCAGGCCACAGGGGCAGGTGACCCCTTGGTCTCACTTCCTGCCCTGGGGGGAGCCCGAACCCCGCCTCTGTGGGGCCCCCCACGGAAGGAACCGGCGCCGGCTGTGCGGCTGGAGCAGGAGACGCGAGGGGCTGCGGGGAGGGGGCTCCCCAAACCACCACGTCCCCCCCTCCCCATCCTCTCCCCTCGCCGGGGCTCCCCCAGGCCGACAGGCCCCCCAGCGCGCCCCTCTCCCCTCTTGAGCAGCGCGGCCCCGGACCGGGAGACTCGGGGGGCGGCGGAGCCCCGGGCGAGGGGACCGGGGCGGGAGCGGAGGCGCTTCCCGGCCGCACTCACCGTGTCCGGCGAAGAGCGCGGGGCGGGCGGGGCGGCTGCGCCCTTCCGGGCGGCCGAGAATTCTCTGGGAAATTCTCTGGCGGGGCCGCGGCTGGGGCGGGCGAGCCGGGTGGGGCGGGGCCTGAGTCTGAGAACCCGCGGGCCGGGTCACGCTGGGTAGGAGTGGGAAGGGGACCCGGGCCTGTAGGATGCCTGGGGTGCAGCGTCAGGACCCTGGGAAGGGACACGGAGCGCCCCCCAAAGCAGGACGGCGGGAGATCTGTGCAACTGTCATCTTTATAAAAACCGTTTCCTGAGAGACATGCCTGCCCCTGCCGCTGGAGCCGTTTCTCTTTCGCCTGAACACGCTCATCTCATCCACCCCGGGACGTCTTTTCTGTTTCAGGCTCATGAAGGCGCCCCTGACGTGGACGCAGCTCAGGGAGACCGGGAAGCTCGGGTGAGTGACACTCAGATGCGAGAGCTTTGATTACGATGCGTACTTGAAAGAGGAATCCGTGTTGATAAAAACCGTGACCGATGTTGTCCTCGCCTCTGAAGATCCCCTCACTCCTGGCCTCCCCACACAGGTTTCTTCTCATTTTGAGCTGGCATTTTGAGTTTTGTGACAAAATATTTTCACAAAACTGCAATGAAATAAAATAAATTGCATACAGGTAGTGAGTCCCCCCTGACAGGTTCCTTTTCCCTATTATGAAACATTCATAAAACAGCATTTAAAAAACCCACATTGGTGATATTTTTCTTGGTGTGATTTTGGTGTTATTTTTCTGGACACATTAGATGTGCTTGGGGAAGATGTGCGTGGGGCGCTACCACAAAGGGTCACGTGAGTGTTTTAATGTCCCCGTCTTTCCTACTGCCTGTGGGGTCTCCACTGAGTGAACCAGGGTTTGAGCTCTAGGTGAGACAGAAAGTGAAAGCCACTGTTGAAGTATCAACTATGACCTTTGCCAGGACACTGGATTTATGCTGACCTGTGACAGTTTCAGCCGGACACAGGAATTCCATTCTATTCTATTCTTTTTTTTTTCTTTTTGTAAAGGCAAGGAACTGGTCACAAGGAGAAGCTTTCAGTTATACAAAATTGTGTTTTAGGAAATATCATGGCTCCATTCATTATTTTGTCTTGCTCCTCCCGTAGGTGTAGACAACTTTCAGGACTCTTGTATTTGGAAGCTGGAAGGGCCCAGACTTTGAAGTAGTGTCTTGTTTTCACTGCTTTATTTTTAATTAAAGCTATACACAGCTGTGGACTCAACAGTAAATTTATATATTTAAAAATGAAGAAAAAGGGGAAAAGATGTTTACTTGGGTTTAAAAGCTAGCCAGAGCACAGGTTCAGGCTAGAAACCCAAACCCCCTCACTAAAAAAAAAAAAACAAAAAAAAAACAAAAAGAGGCGACCTTGACATTAACTCCCAATGCTGCTGCTCTGCCCTTACCTGCTTGGGTAGCAGGAAGCCATGTTTCATCCTAAAATATTTCTCTGTTTTTTTTTTTAAAGATTTATTTATTTTCATACAAGAACCAGGGTACAGGCCAGATGTGCGGGAGGGTAAGAGGATTCACCAGAGACACAGCGGGAAACAGAACAGGCAGACTAGAGAAATACACTGCTGAGGAGAGGAACAGGAGAGACAGGAGAGGTGTGCTGCGCCATGTGGGGAATCTCACCTGCCGGCCGGGATCGAACCCGTGCTGCAGAGGCTGCGAACAGCTTCACAGTGTGGTGCTCAGCCACCTGTGCCACCACGGAGGCCCTAAAATGTAACCACAATGGAATTCTTAAGACTTTTTAGAAATTACTTTTCCCCTGCCAAGGAGCAAGGAGGTCATTTTACCCATGGAGTTTTCATCAATTTCTGTTACTGGTCCTGATAATGATAGGGAGTTGTGTACATTATAGAAAACATAGAAGTTGTGTACATTATAGAAAATGTCTATTGTAGAAGAGTAGAATAAAATAGGATGAACAGTATCAAAAAGTACTCTTATGACTTTGCACGTCTCCTTCCAAGTTTTTTTCCCCAATATTTGCAATTGTGAAGTAGAATACCTGTGTAGAAGATAGGTTGTAGCTTGAGAATTACAAAATGAGCTTCCTTTAAATAGGTCAAGGAATGTAAAATCACATCATCTGACCTTCGTCCATAAGGAAGCCCCTATATGGCTGTCACTCTTTTTTTTCTTTGCTCTTCACTACATATCCTAGGTATGTATCACTGCATGTATCATTAAAACGTGAGTTTAATTCTGTGTGAAGTTTATTATTTAAGTTAAACATGTTGTTTCTGTCTCGGATGTCACTCAACAATATGAAGGCAAGACTAGTCCACATTTTGGATGCAGCTAGACTGATTATCCTCCCTGCTGTGTCACGGCGCACTCGATGCAGTTGTTTACATTGTGTTCTGCTCACACTTAAGGGGTAAGGAGAGGATGTTTCACTAATATTTTCCTTTTGTGGTGGAATGACAGCACTGCTACAATTTTCCACTTTCAACATTTAACACTAATCAAGGACTTTCCACGTCATTAAAAACTATTTAGTGTTATTGTATCTAGTTTTTATATTTAATTTTGTATATATTGGCGGGTTTTATTTAGTTTCAAATCACTGTACTGTAAAGAAAGTGTTAGTGAACATAGTTACACACAAAGATTTTTTATCCGAATTTGAAATCATCTCCTTAGGTCATTTCCAAAAATACAATTACTATTTCCATTGAGAACGTAGGTATTTTGGGGACTCCCCGGGGCGCAGCGGGGTGAGCGCAGCCTGGGGAGCGGCCGCGGCCGCCGGGTCGATCCCGCGGCCTCGGGGCGGCCCCAGGGCGCGGCCCGTCTTGTCCCCGCTGCCTCAGCGGGGCGCGTCGTCGAGCCTCTCGCCCCCGCGCACCCGGCCAGTCCCGGCTGTTACATAAATACATAAATATTAAAAAAAAAAAAAAGAAAATGTAAGTATTTCAAATTCCCAGCTCCCCGCAGAGATTGCGAACTTACCTCTGAGGAACAGCGAGGACAGACTTCCTCTCCGGCCGTCATTTGTTCTGCCCCGCGGTCCTGCCCAAGCCTCCCGCCCTCCCCTGCGGCGCGGCGCGGCCCTCACGCGTCTCAGCTCCCGCCATCCTCCGCGCGGCCCGCAGCGCTCTCAGGCCTCCCGCCCGTCCTTCATCAGCCCTTTACTGTACTGGCCCTTTAAGTGCGCCCTGGGCAGTTACGTCATCACTCTGAGACTCCCAGGATGCACCGGGCGGAACGTGGCGGCTGCGCCAAGAGCGTCTCCCAGGGGCAAATTAAAGGAGCAAGAGGAGCGAGTGTCGCCGCCTGGTGGACTGGGGTGGTATCGTGGGAAAATCACAGCCCGAAACCCAAGCGGGACCAGAAGTGGACGCGCCAAGAGCGACTCCTGGGGGCGAAATAAAGCGGCGAAAAGAGCGAGTTTCGCCACCTTGTGGACCCGTGTGGTATCGTGGGAAAATCGCAGCCAATTGGGCAGCCAGACCGGAAGTGGCTGCGCGAAGAGCGGCTCCCGGCGGCAAAATAGAGGTGTGAGAGGAGTGAGTGTCGCCGCCTTGTGGACTGGGGTGGTATCGTGGGAAAATCGAGGCCTGAAACGCCAGTTGTACCGGAAGTGGCCGCGCCAAGAGCGGCCCCCAGCGGCAAAATAAAGGGATGAGACGTGCAAATGTCGCCGTCTTGTGGACTGGGGTGGTATCGTGGGAAAATCGAGGCCAGAACCACCAGCGGGACCAGATGTGGCCGCGCCAAGAGCGGCTCCTTGGTACGAAATAAAGCGGCGAGAGGAGCGGGTGTCGCCGCCCTGTGGACTGGGGTGGTATCGTGGGAAAATCGCCGCCCGAATCGCCACCCGGAATGGAAAGGGCTGCGCCAAGAGTGGCTCCTTGGTGCGAAATAAAGCGATGAGAGGAGCGCGTGTCGCCGCCTTGTGGACCGGGGTGGTATTGTGGGAAAATCGCGGCCCGAACGGCCAGGCAGACCGGAAGTGGCCGCGCCACGAGCGGCTCCCGGCTGTGTCATGAAGGCGCGGTTGGAGCGGGTGGTCCCGCCTTGTGGCCCGGATGGATAATTTGGGGAAAACGCAAAATGATGATGGCAGGGGGGTGGGGAAGGGAATGCGCCAGGAGGGGTGAGAAAGTTGGCGAGCAAGGCGGGAAACGGGAGGAGGAACGAGGTCGCGGGGCCAAGCACGGAATACCGTGCGGGCTGGACTGTGAATAAGCTTCAGAGATGTTCCAGGGCAGTGGAAAGGGCGGTGAGGATCTTGTGAAAAATAACGGGGGAGGGCGCCGCCTGGTGGCCATCAGTGGCGAGACAGCACGTCCCTGAGAAGTGGCCAAAGGGGAGGAAAGGCTGAGCTTGGGGACCACTAAGGGGGCCTGTGGGGCAGAGTCGAGTGATGGCGCGGGGACCAGCCATGACAGCCCGCGGGGAAGGGGCGGGCAGGCGCAGAGGCAGTAGCAGCAGAGCGTGGTGGGAATGTGTGTCCAGAGCCTTGAAGGGGAAACCCGGATAGACTAACATGTTTGTGAGCCTAGGACATCTGTCCTCACCATTCCTGAGAAGTAAGTTCACAACCCCTCTGCAGGGAACTTTGAATTTAAAATACTTATATTTCCAATGGAAATAATAATTTAATTTTTGGAAATGACCTAAGGAAATGTTTTCAAATTCAGATAAAAATCTTTATGTGTAAAAATGTTCACCAACACTTTATTTACAGTAAAATGATGAGACTATCTAAATAAAAATCCCCAATATATACTAAATTAAATGTAAAAACTAGATAGATACAGTAACACTGAATAGTTTTTAATGATGGGAAACTACTTATATTGCAGTGTTAAATGATGAAGTAGAATATAAAATTTTAGCGATGATATAAGCATCCTCTCCTTAACCCTTATGTGTGAGTAGAACACAATGTAAACAACTGTACATCGAGTGGAATATTATACAGCAGTGAAAATAAGTCTCAAGCTGCATCCAAAATGTGAACTACTCTTGCCTTCATACTGTTAAGTGACATTCAAGACAGAAACAGAAATGACTTAATTTATTTAAATATTAAATACCAGACAAAATTAAAATCACGTTTTAATGATACATGTATCACTATACATACCTAGGATATGTAGTGAAGAGCAAAGAAAAAAATTCAGTGACAGCCATATAGAGGCTTCCTTATGGAGGAAGATCATGCTATGATGTGACTACATTTCTTGACTTATTTAATGGAAGCTCATTTTATAATTCTCAAGCTATAACCTACATTCTACATAAGCATTCTATTTCACAATTGCAAATATTGGGGGAAAAACTAGGAAGGAAACGTGCTAAGTCATAAGAGTACTTTTTGATACTGTTCATTCTATTTTATTCTAGTCTTCACATTTTCTATAATATACACAACTCCCTATCATTATCAGGGCCAGTAACAGAAGCTGACGAAAATGCCACTGGTAAAATGACCTCCTTGCTCCTTGGCAGGGGAAAAGTAATTTCTAAAAAGTCTTAAGAATTCCATTGTGGTTACATTTTAGGGCCTCCGTGGTGGCACAGGTGGCTGAGCACCACACTGTGAAGCTGTTCGCAGCCTCTGCAGCACGGGTTCGATCCCGGCCGGCAAGTGAGATTCCCCAAATGGTGCAGCACACATCTCCTGTCTCACCCATTCCTCCCCTCAGCAGTGTATTTCTTTAGTCTGCCTGTTCTGTTTCCCGCTGTGTCTATGGTGAATCCTCTTACCCTCCCGCACATCTGGCCTGTACCCTGGTTCTTGTATAAAAATAAATATTAAAAAAAAAAACCAAACAGAGAAACATTTTAGGATGAAACATGGTTTCCTGCTACCCAAGCAGGCGAGGGCATGGCAGCAGCACTGGGAGTTCATGTCAAAGTCACCTCAGTTTTTTTAGTGAGGGGGTTTGGGTTTCTAGCCTGAAGCTGTGCTCCGGCTAGCTTTTAAACCCAAGTAAACATCTTTTGCCCTTTTTCTTCATTTTTAAATTTATAAATTTATTCTGTTGAATCCACAGCTGTATATAGCTTTAATTAAAAATAAAGCAGTGAAAACAAGACACTACTTCAAAGTCTGGGCCCTTCCAGCTTCCAAATACAAGAGTCCTGAAAGTTGTCTACACCTACGGGAGGAGCAAGACAAAATAATGAATGGAGCCATGATATTTCATAAAACAAAATTTTATGTAACTGAAAACTCCTACCTGTGACTAGTTCATTGCCTTTACAAAAAGAAAAAAACAGAATAGAACAGAGGGGCCTCCCTGGGGGTGCAGGAGGTTAAGACGCTGCACTATAAAGTTATCAACAGCCACTGCAGCACGAATTTGATCCCTGGCCAGGGAGCTTACCCACATGGCACAGCAAACCTCTCCTGCCTCTCCACTGTTCCCCTCAGGAGTGTGTTTCAGTCTGCCTATTCTGCCCCTTACTCTGTCTTTGGTGAATGCTCTCACCCCCGCATCTCTGGTCTGTGCCCTAGTCCTCTCTGGTGAGAGGACTCACCAGAGACAGAGTGGGGGAACAGAATAGGCAGATCTACTGAAATCCACTGCTGAGGGGAGCAGCGGGCGAGTCAGGAGAGGTCTGCTGCGCCATGTGGGAAGGCCCCTTGCCAGGGATCGAACTCATGCTGCAGCAGCTGCAAACAGCTTTATAGGTTGTGTCTTAACCCACTGCGCCACCAGAGAGGCCTCTAAATAAATAAATTTAAAAAACAAAATACAACAGAATAGAATGAAATTCCCGCGTCCAGCTCAAGCTGTCACAGGTCAGTATAAATCGAGTGTCCTGGCAAACAAGATCACATTTGATTGTTTAATGGTGGCTTTCACTTTTTCTCTCACCTAGAGCTCAAACCCTGGTTCATTCAGCAGAGACCACCCCCACCCCACCCCACCCACCCCACCCCACCCCCCACCTCCAGCAGGAGGGAAGACCGTGGCCTTAACACACTCACATGCGTTTGTGCAGCAGCTCCACAGTGGCCTTACTGCAGGGCAAGCTGGCAAACCATCCAAGGTCAGGAGCACCAAGAAGAGAGAAAGTCAGTCCCCTCCGGGAACCATACAAAGGCCAACAATATTTAAACCCCCATTTTAAAAAGGGTTCCCCCCCAAAATATTTCACTCTAAATGAATTTGTCAGCTGTCACGGGAAGAACGTGCCTCCCTCACCGTGGACACCTTCGCAGCGTCCGCCCTCCCTCGAGGCCCCCTGTTCTCACCTGGCGAACGTCAACCGAGCAAGGACAATAAATGTGAAGAGCCTCAGGCTCCGCCGATTTCGGCGATTGGGAAACCAAAGTGGGCACGAACCAAGTAAAACCTGCGTCATCACAAAGATTTCCCGAGACGGTGGCGACACGTGAGCCTTCCCCGGGGGCCTCCGCGCTTTCCGGTGAACGGGTCCCCGAGAGGGCGCGGAGCACGCTCGCCTCCTCTCCCGGCTGGATTTCCAGTGTCCCCGCGCCTGCGAGGGCCGTGGCGGGGAGGCTCGAGACGCCTCCGTCTCCCCTGGAAGGGGTCCCTGACACGCACCGGGGCTCGGGCGGGGCTGCCTGGAAGCAGCGGAGACTCGCCCCGAGAGAGCCGGGCAGGAGACACGGGGCGCAGGAGACACGGGGCGCAGGAGTGCGCCGGCGAGGCACACGCGGGCGGGATGCAGACCCGGGGCCGGCCTGGCCCGGCGAGAACAGCCCGGGACGAGCGAGCGAGCCCGGCCCGCAGCGGGTGAGCGGCCCCTGGGGCCGTGCGCGTCACAGACGTGGAACCAGAGCCCGGGCGGGACCCGGCTCCACCTTAGGGCCGTTTCACCTCCGGGGCAGGCCGCGCCCGCGCCAGGGACGTCAGCCCCACTCGCGGACCGCAGCCCGGGCCCCGCGGCGCAGCGAGACGCCCTCCCGAGGCGGCGCCGGGCGGCAGAACGACACACGCTTCCCCGCCGGGACGGCCTCGCGCCTTCCCCGAACGCACGCAGCGTGTCCTTCTCGAAAAGAGCCCCGAGGGGGTT